GTAAAAAATCAACTTGATCCTGTGAATAAATTGCTCTTACATAGAAGCGCTTCAGGTCGGGACAGCACTCGCAGCGGCCAATCTGGCTGTCATTGCGCCTCATCTCTATCGAATGATCAACCCTGAAGGAGACTTCGATAGCAAGCCCTTCAGGTATTATCGAAGTGTCCAGCCAGATGGGGGTATTCGTATGCGTCGAGTAGCTGACCTGGTGCCAGACATTTGCTTGACAAATGAGCCTCAACTGTCTATCGGTGCTATAGGTTGTGTTTCTACGACTGTTCGTCTTCCAGAATCTGACACGGAAACAACATCAGAGAATATTTCTGCACCGAGCGCTGTAGAAAGTAAAAACTCTCAGCCCAGTTTACATCATCAATCATCGTTTGTTTTTCACGACCCGGATGCTCTCTCACAGGGATCTCGCTCGTTGCAGCATGATTCGTAGCAATCACATGTTGAAAGTCTTTTTTTTCTTTCTTTTTCTGGAATGAACACGATGAAAGATACTCACATACTGTATGCAATAGTAATCTTGTAAACACCTGCAAGCTCGAATGAGGAGAACGCGTTGTAATAATATACGCGTTCGGCCCGGGCCGCTGAAATGAACTTCCCATAAAAAGTTCCGTTTTTGGCGAGATGAACCTCAATAACCGAGATGCCGTCCTAACGCTGGAGCGGCTTCTCGGCCACCATTCAGCTTGCCAAAACGGGGATCCTGAGCAAATCCTGAGAACGTCTTTGATGGGGAAGTAAGGCCTTATCAATACGAGCTGCACGGTAGAGGGGAACTAAAAAATCTTATCGCGTCCTCGTCGATCGAGCTCCCTGGTCGCTACATTGTTATGATGAAGCGGGGAAGCTGTTACTCCCAGAAGAACGCCACATAGAGCAAAAAAAAGGGCGAGAAGGAGCATTTTTTAGTGACTTTTGATTTTTTTCTCGCCCTCTAATTGCATATGTATCTCAATTAGAAGAGCCTTGGAACTCTAGACCTCACCAGAATTGAAAAATTATGCTATGATTCAGTACCCGGCGTCAGCGTTGTCGCCTGATCTACGTTTACAGAGCCCTGATACTACATTATACATGGCTTCGACGACCACCAATACCGGTGTCCGGTAGGCTTCTCATTGGAAAATCGAACCGTGGAGTTCCGGCCAGTACCTTGGCGATGTTTTCGTATTGATTTCCTAGCTCTAAGCTCAAGTGCTTTTAAGGATCAAGTGGTGCATTGTAATGGGCGGCGTTAACTCTAGGAGGGCGGTGTACTCTCCATGATCCTCTCGACAATCACTAGCCTCCAGTAAATTTCGCCTAAACTTACAAAGAAGTTTTCAAGTATTCCTTGACTGGCATCCTGGTCCATCTACAGCTACATCTTTCAATTTATAGGAGCCAAGAATACCCAACGAGTTTTATAAATCTCAGAATGAGCCCGGGCTAGACGGTCATCAGATAGGATGTAATACAGATTCAGTTCCAATTTTTCTATACTTGGAGCGCCAGTTCACAGTAAGGATGGCAACCGACGAGCAGGATCTCTTATTAAACATGTGTACTGAAATGATTTTTAGACAGGCCTGGAAAGAAAATTCGAAAACTTTAACATATCTCCGGAATTCCAGACCTCATCTTACCCTGTCTACAGAGTTAGACATTTTCGCCTCCGCCAATTGCATTCAAGGACGGATTGGACATGCATGTTATGAAGTGACACAGTCGGAATGGATATAAGAAAGCATCAATGGAGAAGGATACGCTTCTCTAACTCATGCCCGACGATCTTCTACCTGCCCCGCATAATAACATATACCAGAGAGTGAGCCATGCTTTCGAAGATTCATATTGGCTTAAATGCCAACCGAGGTGAGTTCATACCTATGCCGAATATGATATCGCAACTTGGATCCTCACTAACCTTTGGATTTTCACCTTTGTCTACTATGCAGTGGTTGTTATCGCTTTTCTGCTCATGGTCCTTGTTACGATGCTGGTGAGGATATGCATTCGCTCTCGTAATCGGCGGTTATGGTGGGACGATGGCTGTCAGTGTTCATGTCTCGACGTTTCGCTATTTTCTCTTACTCATCTTTCAATTTTAGGTACCTTTTTAGCCGCCTTGTTCACAGTATTAATGTACGTAGGAGAAATTCTAGCTGATCATACAGCAGGTAGGTTTCATTCCCCGGTCATACTCTATCAAAAAACCGACGTTGTCGCAGTGCCGGCCACACCCAATGCCCATCGACTCAAGATCATCCAATTTTGGTCAGGAAGTCGAACACGGCGGTTGCATTCCGTGAGCTGAATTATATACCCAGGGTCATTCTTATAGCCTACTGCTTTGCAATTTGGTGAGAAATTGGTGGCGAAAGCCTGAGCGTGTTAAAATTTATATCTACTTATCTTGATCTACATAGGTTTGCTAAAATCACCTTGATGCTGTCAATTGTCCGCCTCATCCCAACTTTTTTGACCCTTCGGAGAGTATCCGAATTGGCTTCCATCGGGTTTCTTCTGATGTGTACAAGCATCACAACGTATAAAATTTATATCTGCGCCTCTGACGTTTCCTGGTACAAATTACCAAACCCTCTATGTAAGGCCATTAGTCTCAGAGCGATTGGGATCACGGAACTCATAAGTAAGCTCTCCCATTTTCCTTTCCTGTATCGATCACTTGGCTCACCTGATTTATCGAGCGTACGTTGCCGCGGATGTTACACTACTTGCCATACCGCTGCGGCTGCTTTATCACGTCAGCCTCTCAACGGATAAAAAGAGGTATGCAGTAAGCGTACCGTAAAGTTTCCGAGCATATGTGAACTGACAGATCCCATATGTTTCAGAATGCTCATTTTCATGTTCAGCGTCAACTTGATCACCAGCGCGATTTCAATTCTACATGTTATACTTCTGATAGATGATGCCTGGAGCTTGTTAAACGTGACTCTCGAAGTCGAGGTGAAAGCGCTCACTAAATCCTATGAATGTTTTATTCTTATTAGTGCTTTAGGTCGGGATAGCACTTGTAACGGCTAATCTGGCTGTCATTGTGCCATACTTCTATCGAATGATCAACCCTGAGGGAGATTTCGATAGTAAGCCCTTCACGTACTATCGAAGTGTCCAGCCAGATGGGGGTGTTCGTATGCGTCGAGTGGCAGACCTAGTAACAGACATTCGCTCGACAAATGAGCCTCAACTGTCTGTCAGTGCTATAGGTCGTGTTCCTACGACTATTCGTCTTCCAGAATCTGACACAGAAACGATATCAGCAAATGTTTCTGCCGCGAGCAGTGTAGAAAGTAAAAATTCCCAGTCCAGTTTGCATCATCACTCATCGTTTGTTTCTCTTGATTCGGATGTCCTCTCACGGGAATCCAGCTCGTTACAGCTTGATTCGTAGCGTTCACATGTTTAACGTCTCTTTTTTTTCTTTCCTTTTCTGGAACGAACACCATGAAAGATACTTAGATACTGGATGCAATAGTCTTCTTGTAAATCATGTAAATACACGCAAGCTCGGATGAAGAGAACGCGTTATATGTGCGATGTGTTCGCCCCGGGCCAGTTGAAAGGCACGATCGGTCACGACCATGTGACGTCCCGCGACGAAGTTCACCTATCATAGCATTTCATTTGAAATTTGAACGTTCGGACGCCCGAAACCGATGGCTAGGATTGCATCTCTTCGATGTGATACAAATTTACTACGTAAATAAGTATGTAACCGGGTTGGCATTCTAGTTAAGGAGATCTTTAAGAGAAGGGTTTTGCCCAGATGTGCTTGGACGCAGGCCCCCGGGAGCCTGCGACCCAGAGGATCCCACCCCAGCCTCGCTTTGCCCAGATGCTTGACCCCCCGCAGCCTGAGATCCAGAGGCCCCTGCAGCAGTATTTCCCGACTGTGCTTTCCCTGGCTTATGATCGTCCGGAGTATCCTTGAGCCACTCATTATTGAAGTTAACATCACCTCGAATGTATTTCCCCAAAATCTGCATAATGGCGTTTTTAAATTCCATCACCGAGCTGGACTTGAGAGCCGCAATAGCGCTTAAAGCGTCATCTCTGCCCTGACTTCCATCTGTCTTGACATCGGGGAAATGGACCTGACACACGGTGTGTAGAAGTTTTCTTTCGTTCGGGTTTAGCTTCCTGTTTACTCTGAAGACGCTGTTCTCCTGCCCTCCGTATCCCTTTATGAGAGCGAAGCCTTGTTCTGACAGGAAGAACGCGGGTCCAATTTGTTCTGCGTGATACCTTACGGCGACGACTCGAAGATCGGTAGCTGCAACAATGCCAAAAGGCCTTATCAATACGAGCTGCACGGTAGAGGGGAACTAAAAAACCTTACCGCGTCCTCGTCGATCGAGCTCCTTGGTCGCTGCATCGTTATGACGAAGCGGGGAAGCTGTTACCGCCAGAAGGCTGGCAAGAACACTGCATAGAGCAAAAAAACGGGCGAGAAGGAGCATTTTTAAGTGAGTTTTGAGAGCTATAAAACCAGGGTGCCGGCAAGTGAGCGGAAGCGAACTGAGCGCAAGGAACCTGACATACGTTAGTGATTATGAATTGAAGAATATGGCCAGCAGATTCTTCCAACGTTCAAAGTACTATAGAGAGAATGAGTAAACGCATAAGCTGATATGGTAACTAAATGGCATACCGGACCAGCGCAGTGAATATTCCTTCATAACGCGAGCTGGCATTTATACGAATGGAGAAGAGATGCTGTGCGGTCAAGGATAAAAATTTATGCTAGGGAGGTGCGCGAGTCGGCGAATTTGTCGGCGAATTTGTCTTAGGTACTTCAAATGAGCCAGCGGTAAGGATAATTCATATATGCAGGCGAAAATTGATTCCGCGATGTGGTTTGTGTACTTATGCTGTGCGCATCGTTATGCCAGGAAATACTATTACTGACCATCTGCACCGTTCACAAATCGAGGTGAACAAATCGCTGAGAGCGAGCTAAATACGTTTCATTACTGGGCGCTATAGCCAAGTGGTTACGGCGACAGATTAGAATACATGAGGTGGTAGTGCTTGATCTGTTCCTCTTTGAGGGCGCAGGTTCGAATCCTGCTGGCGTCGATAGCCTGGGGGTATTGCTTTTTAATGTATTTTTCTCACTCTCTCTTGCAATATGTACAGAAATGTCACCGACGGGAATCCAAGTTTGAATTGAAGGACCCACTATAGTCTACCGATCAATCTTGGTAATGTTGCTTCGGTTTCACGAAATGGGGATATCTGTTTCGTAATATGTAAAAGTACCCAAAAATACCCATATATAGCCGTGGGTCCTGGTAATGCGGAATTTCCTATTTTGGAGTTACCCAGGTTCTTTTACAGCTTATTACATCCTTAGATTTCGAACCCACCAGCATCACTGTACGAGACTTTCACGATGACTTGCCATCGTCTTCCAACCTACAGCTAGTGACGTGTCCCGTTATTTCCCGGCCACAAAATGCTATCGAGCACGGCGACTTGACTAGACAGCAGAAGATATCGTAGGTTTGGAGGCCCGAGTCGTTATGACGGTAGACATTATTGATTGAATGATGAACCTCGATAGTAACGGATTCGGTTTTCCAAGGTCCAAATCTTGTACAGTTGAAAGCCACAGGGTCCCTGGAAAGCATACAAGATGTCTTTTTGGGATCGAACCGCGTATTGGCCCTCCGGGCGTTGATCAACCGAGAGATTCCATAGTCGAAAAAGTCCCATCAGCTAGAGTTGCATTCACTCGCTATATTTGTATCATTTGTATAGGTAACAGGAACGACACATCCCGATAATGGAAAAAAGGGACAGCGGCTCCCACACGTGTCACGGTGACTCTCAGTGAGCGACCATGAGCGTCTGCGATTCAACGATTCAAGAATGGGGCTTGTCTTTCATTTCTCGGATGTCATTCATTTTGGGCGGCACAGCTTCTGCGCTCGAGAGGCATTTCTATATATACGGGGCAAGATTCGACTGGCGTATCATTTATTCGAGCTTTTTTGCTCTTTGCTGCTTCGAGTTTCATGGTATAGCTCTTGGGTAAAGCCTTCTTCAATCGTACAGAAGATTCGAAAACCGTGTATCGTCTCATTTCACGTTTGTGTTTGCACTTTCTTCCTTGGGCTGAAGCTGATTAGACTATAATTTCTTAGGAACAACAGACGAGATTTTCTCTGCAATGACCGAAGCAGGCTCGACGGCAGCAAGCGCAGAATCCAGCAGAGAACAAGCTTTGTATATCCTTTTTACCGTCTTCCAGCTCGCAGGTCTCGGTGGCCTTATCATCATTTTCATTACCGCGTGGGCAACTTCTGTGGTCCAAAAACGACATCTCTGCTGGTCGAGCTTTATTCTTTCATGGATTATATCATCCCTTTCATACAGGTATGTGTTTCATCCCCATCCAAGTTCTACTACTTTGACTGATCCCAGTCTTCTCCGCAGTCTTCTAGCGGGAACTTCGCTCGACTGGCAGCCGGGTTATTCTCTCTGTTTGGCGCAGGCTGTTCTGATTTATACCGTTCCAACACTGTAAGTTTCCGCAGCCCAGAGTCCAGCGTAAGATGTTGACGAATTATTCGGTTTAGGACGGCTTGCACTAGCCTGGCTCTCGTCATACAGGTAGGATCAACATATTATGATTTTGGCACGAAAAATTTGCTAACTCTATCACAGGTTTTGCTGACCGTACGCTCATTCACAACGCCCCCAATGTCTCCCTTGAGTGCCAGGCCTTCCTCTGATAGATTGTGGACCTTTATGGTCGGCCTCCGTTCCCCTATTCGCTTCCTAAACCTCATGCTGATGAAACACCCATCTTTTAGCTGTTATTCGTTCCATACCTCCTCGGAGCGGCGATGTTTACCCTATCTCTAGTCATCGGTCTCAAGGATCACGATACGGTGACTAGGCCACCGGGTGGATTTTACTGCAACATGAAAGACACTCTCCCGTCAGTACACCCTCCACCCTCTTTCTCCCGCTTATGCTTATTCATTCATTCGTTGTTGGTCAAACAGAGGAAAAATCTCCGCCATTGTCGTTGCAGCAATCATGATCATTTGCGTCTTCCTGGGCGGCACCATCTCCATCATTCTCCGGCGACACTGGCGCGTGTTTACCAACCAAAGTCGTACGCCGCTTGCGACGGCGATGAGAGTGCTGTGCTTTAGTGCGTTTTCGGTTGTGGCGATTGTGTGAGTTATTGTCAATGTTTTTCTCTTTTTCTTCACCCTGTTCTTCCTTCCGTCCTGCCGTTCCCGATGGCGGTGGTGGATGGTTTTGTTTTTTGTTTGTTTGTTTTGACGCGGAGCTAACTGTGGAGCCTTTAGGTTAGGGATCATATTCTTCTTTACGCCACGAAGTAGTCATGGGCCAGGGTTAGAAATCGTTCTTTCTCTGAGTGAGTTGGATGCTTTCCCTTCTCCGCTCGTATCAGTTCAACTAACGAACCTATTACCCCTTTTAGTGCCCGTAGCAGCCGTCCTCGTCTTCGGAACCCAAAAAGACCTCATCGAGCCCTGGAAATCCGGCTTCCAAAAATGTCTCCGCTGCCTTGCATCCTGTTTCCGTCGCAAGCGGGACCCACACACGCAGAGCACGAGTACGAGACACGCGAGCTCGTCGAGATTGTGCGGGAGTGAGAGTCAGAGTAGTCCGGATGGGAGTATACTTAGTTTTAATGAGTATGTGGCTGGGGTGAGGATGGAGGCTGGTCAGAATATTTGGCGGGGTTCGGAATCATCATAATGTTCCCCCCCCCTCCTTCCCTCCCTCCCTCCCTCCCTCCCTCTCTTTCTCCCTTTCTTCCTTCCTTTCTCAATCTCTCTCTTTTTTCCCCTCTGTCTATCTCTTTGTTTCCCAAAGGGACCCGAAAGTTCGGGTCCCATTCTTCCTCTCACCTCACTCAATCACCTCTATCCTCCATGCCCACCTCTATCCTCTATGCCCAATTCTTCAGTTCTCGCCTTCTTCCCTACTATCTTTCATTCATTCATCTATCCATTCATTCATTCAACCAGCGTACTTTCCTTTCTTAATCCTTCGACTTACGCCTCTCTTAGTCTATGGGCTTTTTTCTCCCCTTTTACTGAACACTTCCTGCATTCTGCATTAATTGATGCTACTCTTCTACGCATTCTTTCCCCCTCTCCTTTCTCCTTTTACCGAACACTTCCTGCACTCTGCACTCTGCACTAATTGATACTCTTTTTCCTCTCCCCCTTTCGGGGATTATTTCTCCCTCTTCTTTCTTTCTTCGCTTTTTCTCATCGTAATTTCACACTAAAGAGGGTAAACATAGTCGAGATTGTACTATTATGTGTAACATTAGACAAAAAAAAAAGATGTACTTACTTTCAAGTTGTGTATCACTATCAGAATACTTAGATAGATACTTGCTTTGATTCGTCGATATCGTGACACCATAACACCAACATCGTTCGTTCGTTGATTCATTCATTCATCAAGCGATATCAACTAGAACTAATATTGACTAATATCGACTAATATCAACTGACATCAACCTACACCGTCGTTCCTTGTCATCACCCTCCTCATCACCCTCATCATCAAGCACATCACATCTTCATCATCATCTTCATCATCTTGGTACTTGACTTCGAAGCAATCCGTACAACAGCAAATGAATACAGACTATGTACGCCACACCTTCTCCGGAGAAAGAGGATGCGGAGGGGTGGGAAGAACGAATAACGGAATGAGGGAATGGAATGAAACGAAAAGAGAATTGAACGTCAACAGCGAACTTGGAATTCGAATCCGCGGCCGGGTCCGACTGTCCGAGCTATGATAGGACGAGTCCGAGTCCGGGTCCGGTCCATCAATCTCCGACTCAAGTTCAACATACATTGTCTAAGGTTGAAGGAAATGAAACGAACGAAACGAATGAACATTGATATTGAATATCGAACGATCTCACTCCTACTCGACCCTACTCGCAAACTCAACAAACTCGGCATAACTCATACCCCACCTCTCCGCCAAGCTATTCGTTCCGTTTTCCGCGCCACTACTACTATCACCTCCACCACCACCACTACTACTACTGCTGCCAATACTCTTGGCTTTCTCCCTCCCAATCCACTCCCGGATCCGATCCTTCTGCTTCCGGTCTAGAGGTCCCTCGCACAGGTTTAGATACGTCCTCAATAGCCTGTAATAGAGTCAGTACCAAAACGAAATGAAATGAAATTTGAATGAGCCATCCCATTCGGATCTCTCGAAACAAAACAAAAGCCAAAAGAAAACACACACAAGAAAACGCAAAACCAAAAAAACAAAGAAAGACACTCACGCAACACCCTTCTCCTCAAAATCCCCATCCACCTCTTCCTGATCGCCATCCGCGCCGTACGGCACAGGATCCGTAAGGCCCCGAATAAGGGTATCCAAAATGTCGTGCTTGTGCATCGCCTCGAGGGTGAGCGCGGACGTGGAGGCGCGATTGGCATCTGAGAGATGTGCGGCGTGCGAGTTGGCGTGGATCGGGGGTGGGGCGTGGTGCGAGTTTGGTGTGTGGAAGTTATCGGGGGCAGAGGACGATGATGCGGCTGGAGCTGGAGCTGACTCGTTGGGTGTGAGGAGGCTGTTTAGCAGGAACGCGGTTTTTCTCCGGACGGTGATGTCTGGGTCTGGCAAAGGAGTAAAACAGTGGAGTTAAATATATAATGGATATTCTCAGCTCACCTTGTAACGCCTCCCTAAGCCTACTCCACCCCTCCGACCCATCCTCCTCCATCCTTACAAGCGCAGGAGCATTATGTTTGAGCAACCCAGAAAGCGCATAGATGACTTTGGATCGTATGCGTTGAGCGGAAGAGGATGTTGAGCTGGGGTTGGGAGCGAGGAAAGAGGTGAGGGTTGGGATGGGATTGAGTTTGAGGTACTGGAACGGATATTGAGTTGACGATTATCGGGAAATCAAGTTTGTGATACGCACCGCGTCCTGAGCAGCGGGATTATTCTGAAGGGCAGTTCCGATGACCCAAATGGCGTGCGTGGCCACTGCGTCGGGGGTGGATGTCAGCAGGGCGTGTAGGGGCTCCCACATTTTCAGCTTT